CCCCCTCCCGTGCCCCGCGCCCAGAGCCCCGCGCTGGCCTTAACCCCTGCGGGCCCGCGGCGCCCTCTGCCCTCCAAAGCCTCGCCTAAGTTGTCTTTCCTAGATCCTCCCCTCCGCCTCTGGCCTTGGGCGGTGTGTCGCTGGCCGCCCTCGAGGCTCCCCTCACAACCCCCCTCCGGCCTTCCCGGCAGAGCAATAATGGGGGGCCGGTTGCTCGGGAGCAGGGAACATGCCCCTGCGCTACAGATCCCACCATACACACACACATATGCACACACACGCAACACGCACGCACGCACGCACGCACACCCTGGGGCATTTCTTTGCAGTTGCATGATGGATTGAATATGCTTGCGCTTCCAGAAAGTCTCCACGGCTGGTCCCCCACCCCACCCCTTCCTTTGCTCCGTGGCTAAGATCTCCAAGGGAAAGGAGGTTGTGGTTTGCATAACGCTGGGAGAGCTAGGTCGTGGGGGGGAGGGCCTTGTCAGGAGCAGAGCTGGGGGGCATGGCAAGGGACAGCCCACCCATCAACCTTTCCTTTACGGGGCCTTCTTCCCCTTTCCCTTTAATTTCCTTTTCTTTCTGTGTTTTGCAGAAAGGGCTGAACCGTGGCTGGACTGCAACTGTCTCTTCCGGCCTGCAGTCCGAGCAAGCCCTTGCATTTATTAAGCACCCTTGGTTTGAGAGGGAGACAGACAGCCCTGGGCAGCGGAAAAACTAGCCTCTCCCTCTGGACCTGTTAACGTTTAACTGGCTATTGGAGCCCTTCCCCCATGACCTTTCCCCTCAGCAGCCCAGAAGGTCCAGAGCCTGGCCTTATCTCTTACCCAGCTCTGGGCCTAATCTGACACCAGTGTACATGGGCAGGGCCTCTGAGGGATGTGGCTGGACAAGCTCTGCGACTCCTAAACCTCTCTCTCAAGAGGGGGCCTTATGAAAGAGCCAAGGAGATGCTCTCCTGGGGCAAAGGTGCTTGGAGTTGTGCAACACTTTGGTGGAAACTGAGGCTCAGGGAAAGCCAAGCCCAACCAGTCCTGGGCCTCTTAGCCTCCCAAGGAGGGCCTGACTGAGTTCCTGGTGGGGAAAGCCTTAAACCAAAAAACCAATTGTTAAGAAGTATGTGTTGCAGAGCAGAACAACAGGGTTTTCAAGGCAGAAAACCTTTCTGAAGCAAATCATCAAGGCTTTCTTCAGGAGCATCTCTGGGTGTGTTTGAACCGCCAATTTGCTATTAGTAGTTGAACCACCCAGGGATTCTTGGGGAAGCCTTAATAAGCACAAAAAGCAGGAAAGACTTGGACTAGACATGAACAAGGACTTCCTACAGATTTGATTGAGGTGGGGTTTTGACTACAGCCTAATGTAAATCCCTCTCCATCTAAGGGAGAAGGTCCTGGGTAGGCAGAAAGGACTATTTGGTTCTAGGCTGCCTGGGTAAGTAAGGGCTGACCTGTTATTTGGGGAGAAGCTAGTGGGGTTAGGCCAGTGGTTTGGGCCCACCAGAATCCTTGCTCAGCGGCACAGGTTCTGAGTCTTAGAGAAGCAAACTGAAAGAGGCTCTTAGAAGGGAGAGAAAGCTCAGGGAGGGGAGTCAGAGAAAGTCTGGGCAGGAAATGGCGGGGGAGGAAGCAAGAATGGAGACTCAGAAGGAAGGGGAGATGAACCCCAGAACCTTCAGTTATTTCAGTCCCTGGTGGCCACCCTGCCCCCTCCCAGTAGCCCCTCACCTCCTGGGGCCTGCCTACGGGTGGGTCGAGGCCTGGCCCCACCCCCCTGACCCCTGCCCGTGGCCCCGCGGTGACATTTGACCTTGCAGGAGCTGAAAACCTGGGACAAAGAGTCCTAGGCCCATCTGCTGAGGGGGTGCCCGTGGGAACAGTCAGTCCATGATCCCAAGCAGCCTGGGAACCCAACCCCAATGGTGACCCCAGCCCTTCCCCCCCCACACACACACAACATGCAAAGTTCCCCCCCCTCAGACAGATGACCTTGGCTCCTCTTCTACTCACAGGCAACCTGGGATGATAAGGTCACTCTTGGGGAGGAGGGACAAGGTCAACTCTATGCTCCTTCCCCCCACTGGCAGCCTCTGGGGTGGGAGGGGAGGGGGGAAGCAGGGCAGAAGTTAGAGGTAGCTGTTTTCCCCTTCTGCCTCTCAAGTCAGGCAGGTGGTTTGAGGCCAGACTCTTGAGGAGGCAGCAACTCAAATACACCTGCACAGGTGGGACCCAGACCCCTCCTCCCTTTAGGCTGGACACAAAACACAAAACACTTTCTAATCCCTATCTTGGGTTTCAGTGACTGCTCAGAAGAGGACAGCTGGCCCCTAATCCCACTGGAGAGGGTGGAGGCCCACCCCAGCTTTCCAGGCCCAGCTAGCCCATTCTGGAGAGGCTGGGAGGTGTGGCATGTAAATATATGCTAATTAAATAAACCAAACCTGTTGTCATGAAATTGTTTCTGGTTCATGGTGACCCCCTATGTGTCAGAGTAGAACTACTCCATGGGGTTTTCTTGATTGTAACATTTATCAAAACAATCTTTACTGAAACTTATCACCAGGCCTTTGTTCCACAGTACTGCTGATAAATGACTTTGAGTCACTTACGACTCATAGTGACCCTGTGTAGGGTTTCCAAGGAGAAGCTGGTGGGTTTGAACCACTGACTTTTGCAGTTAGCAGTGCAGTGCTTATCCTACAGCACCACACCCAGAGTTGATTGCAAACCATTTAACTATCAGGAAGAAGCTCAAACTTCTCAGCCTGGCCAGTGGTAGTCCTGCGAGTCACAGGTCTGCCTCACTGCCCACCTTTAGCACGTGCTCTGAATTCATCTGTCCACAGTCCAAAGCCTCCACTCCCACTTCACCCAGAAGCCTTCTACCTTAGTTGCAAATTCTTCAAAGCCAAATTCCAAAGCCCCCTTTGGTTCCCCCTCCTCCATCTTCAACCTGGGAGCCAGTGTTCTTCTGAGCTAAAGTTCCCCTTTTACACATCCTGAACTCTGCTGGTCTCAGTTTCTCTCAGTTTCTCTTTGTGAGCATCTCCCAGACCAAACCCAGCATCTCCTTGAGAAGGAATGAGCAGGAAAGGTGTGCCTACCCCGTCTTTCCTCATAGACCCCTCCCAGGGGGGGAACAGGGATTGTAACTCTAGTTACTTAGCTTCTCTGAACCCCTGTACAGGGTTGCTATGAGTCAGAATTGGCTCAATGGCACTTAACAACAACAACTTCAGAGGAATCCTAGTGTGGTACTATGGGATAAGCTCTGGATAACTGCTAACTACAAGGTCGCTCCTTAGAAACTCTATACAAGGTCACTATGAGTCAGAACTTGACAACAATACTATTGACCTTCAACATCTGGCTGGGCTTCCATCCCCTTAGCCCCAGCTGGGGTGGCAGAGCTTTGCCTCTGGTTTTCTGGGATCCTGTCCCTATATAACCCCAATCTGCTTCCTACCCAATGCTGATGATGATATGCCAAGCTTCCACTCCAGATAGTGCCAAACCAGACCCTAAGACACAAAAGAGATTTAAACTTAAAAATAAAAAATTTAAAAAGCCATTGCTGTCTAGTAAATTCCAATTTATGGTGCCCCCATGCATTACAGAGAACTGCTTCATAGATTTTTCATGGCTGGTAGAGTAGTGGGTTACACACTGGGCTGTTAACCATAAGATCAGCAGTTCGAATCTACCAGCTGCTCCATAGGACAAAGATGGAGATTTCTACTCCTATAAAGATTTACAGCCTTGGAAACTCTAGACAGGGTCACTGAATGAGAACCAACTCCACGGCATACAGCAGCAGCAGTCTTTGTTTGCATGAGGAGTCCTGGTGGCACAGAGGGTTAAGTGTTGGTCTGATAATTGAAAGGTGAGCAGTTCCAACCTCCCAGCCGAGCCACCTTGGAATTATGTCTAAGTCTGCTTTTGTCAGGGTTTGTTAAAACCTATAGGTGCAGTTCTGCTTTGTCCTAGGGAGTCTCTTATGAGTCAGAATCTACTCCAAAGCAGTAGCCGGGGCCATTGACCACCTCACAAAATCGTGATGAGAGTCAAGACTTCTTGGCTTCCCAGTCCACAGTGTATGCTTCAGTTTCCCAGTTAACCCTGTTGTAAAAACCAAATGGGTTTGCGTTTTTATGGTTTTCATCTTTATGGAAGCAGATCACCAAGACGTTCTTCTATGGCACCACTGATTGGATTTGAACCACCAACCTCTCAGGTAGCAATTGAGGCCAAACTGCATACCCAGAGACCTCTAAGACATAAAGTCTTTCTCAAATGCCTAGTCACCCTACACCAGGCTTCTGCATGCCAAACATGCCCCAACACACCAAGTCACTCCAGGAAGTTACATCATCAGCCACCACTCAGTGATGTGTCCAGACATGACTTGCTGTGAGGTCTACAGAAGGGTCTCTCCTGGCTGGGGTGGCTGGCAGGACAGCTGGGACCTCCTCAGAGCCCTCGCAGTGGCTTCCAACGCAGCCAGTTCCTCTGCCTGTTGGGCCTCCATTAGTGCCACCTGCTGCTCCAGCTTCCGCTGCTGCTCCTCCTGCTTCCGGTGTGCTCCTCGGAAGGTCAGGACCAGGGCACTGCAAGAGGTAGAAGCTGAACCTGGAAACAGCCCCATCCCTGCGGGCCACAGGAGCTTCCTGGGATGGAGCCACCTGGGGTTCCTCTGGGCACCAGGGGAGGTGTGGGATGGACTCAATGCACTGCCCATCTCACAGGGGGAAATGGGGCCCAGAGAAAGAAAAACTAGGGCTACTGATGATGTGACCAGGCAGGCATGGGGACACAGGGCAGGGAACCCACCTGTGAGCTTTGCATAAGTCACTGTTCAGTTTGGTATTATGAGCACGTCTGGCTCGAGCCTTCTGAGCCACCTGTTCCAGCTCTTTCCAAAGACTCCACAGCTGCCCCCTCAGGTCCGCAGCCCTAGTACAGGGGTGGGGAGAGGGGCTCACAGCCATGGCCAATCATTTTCCCTCCCCTCCTCCCACCCACCTGTCCATAGTGTTTCCAAGTGAACACACATTGAGCTCCCTGACCTCCCCAAGCCCACCCATTTCTTAGTCTGAAATGCAGGCACACACCGGCTTAGCGACATCTCCAGCTGCTGGGCCAATTCTTCTGAGTCCTGCACTCTGCCCACCTGGCCTCCGTCAATGCCACTGGGGACAGCAAGAGGGCCCTAAGGTGGGAAGAAGGAAAGAAAGTGCCATTGGCCAAGATGTGTGCCAAACACAAAGTGAGAGCCTAAAACACCAGGACAGTGGAGCTATAGCTCTGCCCTTACAGAGCCCCCAATAAAGGCAAAATTATTCTCTGACAAAGGAAATAGGAAACCTTATCTGAAGGCAACCTAGGAGGGCTTCCTTGAGGAGGTGATATCTGAGCTGAAATCTGCAGAAGTCAAAACTTGTCTAAGTCAATTAGACAAAGAGGGAATGGTGTTCCAGGCAGGGGCCTAGCATGTATAAAGGCTTAGAGGTAGGTGTTGTTGTTGTTGTTAAGTGCCATCGAGTCGATTCCGACCCATAGTGACCCTGTATAGGGTTTCCAAGGAGAGGTTGGTGAGCTTGAACCGCCAACCTTGCAGTTCAAATGACTTCACAGTCTGACACATTAGCCCACAGCGCCACAAAGCCACAGTAAGGAGCTTGGTCTCTGAATGTTCTGGAAAGTCATGGAAGGCTTTAAGCAGAGGATGGACAAGATCAGACAGGAAGGACCAGAAGCAGAGACCTCAAGGAGAAGGCAGGAACTAAGTTTTAGGAGGAGATGAGACATAGGCTGGGGCAGCAGGGATGGAAATGGGGAGCATGAACAGGTCTGGGGAATTGGTTTGGGGCCTATTGGGCTCAATACCCTCAGAGAAAGCAATCTCAAAATACAGATGTGAACCTGGCACTCAGTTTCATTGTTACATACACATTTCTGTGAAGAAATAGAACCCAAAACTCAGGGGCCATGATTCTCTGGGGTCACATAGCAGTAATATATCTGCTCTCCCTCCCAGGTCCAGATGGGCTGCTCACCTGGGGCCAGTCCTCCTCGTCCCCACTGCTCCCACCTCCACTGCTGTCTCCACCAGTGTTGTCCTCTCCACCAGCCTGGAGCTGGGCCTGCTCCCACCTCAGCTGGTCCAAGAGGAGCAGGTGGGCTGGACCCAGAGCTCGAAGCGCGGCCTCTCGCAGCTCCAGGCTCCGCTTCTCCCGTCGTGCCAGCTGGAGCCGCAGTGTCAGGTCTGCCAGGGCCTCCTGAGGGGCCAAGAAGAGGACAGTGAATTTGCACCTGGAGGGCCAACCTTGAAGGGCAGTGGTGGTTCAGGGGTAAAGCCTTCACCTTCCATAAGGCAGAATGGGTTCAATTTCTAGCCAATGCACTTACGTGCAGCCACCACGTACCTGGCGATGGGAGCATCTATGTGGCTATGACGCTGAACAAATTTCAGAGGAGCTTCCAGCTAAGACTGGCTAGCAAGAAATACCTGGCAATTGACTTGAGAAATCAATGAAAACCCTATGGTTCACATCAGCCCAATCTTGTGCATGGCATTGCCATGTACCAGGGGCAGGATTGACATCAGCTAATAGTCAGGGGCTGAATAGACAGCAGCTCCCTGGTGTGGCACTGCAGGTTAATGCACTGGACTGCAAAGTCAATTTGAACCACAAGGTCAGCGGTTCAAGCTCACTAGCTGCTCCTTGGAAACCCTATACAGGATCGCTATAGGTCAGAACCAACCCATCAGCACTTAACAAGAATAATGGTGTGGAGTCTTGGTATGATGCTGTGGGCGAATGCACTGGACAGCAAGGTCGATTTGAACCGCAAGGTCGGTGGTTCAAGCTCACCAGCTGCTCCTCAGAAACCCTATACAAGCTCACTATGAGCCAGAACCGACTCAAGGGCACTTAACAACAACAACAACAATATCAACTATTAAGGAAACTGAGGCACACACTGTGGGCTAGGCAAGCAAGAAATCTAACCCTTACCCTTATCATGATCGTCTGAGGTGAGAAATGCCATCCCCTGGACTTCTGGTGTGGTGCTATAAGCACTGGACTGTGAACCACAAGGTCGGTGGTTCAAACCCACCAGCTGCTCTTCAGAAACCCTATACAGGGTGGCTACGACTTGATATTACTTCACAACGACAACAACAACATCCCATAAAACCAACCATTTGTGTGTCAGTTTGTTGTACTGTGATGGCTTGTGTGTTTCTGTGAAGCTATCTAGCATATATTTAAAATACCAGAAGGGTCACCTATGGTGGAAAGGTTTCAACGGAGCTTCCAGACTAAGACAGACTAAGAAAAAGGAGACGCAGACCACGTTTGAGCGGTTAGCCACCAAAAACCTTCTGAATAACAGGAGAACATTGTCAGATATACTTCCAAGAAGGCACTCAAAATAAGGTTGGCAAGAACTACCTCTTCAAAGTAGAGCTGACCATAATGACATGGATGGAGTTAAGCTTTCAGGACCTTCATTTGCTGATATGGCACAACTTAAAATGAGAGGAAACAGCTTCAAACACATTAGTAATCAACGTGGAATTTTTGTGGTATAAATCTAGGAAAATTGTAAGTTGTCAAAAATTAAATGGAATGCATAAAGCATTGCTAAGCATTAGTAAGTTGAAATGAACTGGGATTGGTCATTTTGAATCAAGACAGTCATATGGTTTACTGTGCCAGGAACAGCAAATTGAAGAGAAATGGCACTGCATTCATTATCCAAATGAACATTTCAAGATCCATCTTAAAGTACAATTCTGTCTGTGATAGGATTGTATTGGAGTAGGCAAACCTGCTGCAGAATACCTTCTTCAAGTGCTCAAGAAAAAAGATGTTGGTTTGAGGATGAAGGTACATGTGATCCAAGTCATGGCATTTAAAATAGCCTCATGTTGTTGTTGTTGTTAGGTGCCATCGAGTCAGTACCAACTCATAGTGAATCTATACACAACAGAACGAAACACAATCATTGCTATGCGTGAGCCCATTGCTGCTGCCACTGTGCCAGTCCATCTTGTTGGGGGTCTTCCTCTTTTTCTTTGACCCTCCACTTTACCAAACATGATATCCTTCTCCAGGGACAGGTTCCTCCTGATAATACGTCCAAAGAATGAGAGACGAAGTCTGACCATCCTGATTTCCAAGGAGCACTCTGATTGCACTTCTTCCAACACAGCCAGTTTGTTCTTTTGGTAGTCCATGGCACCTTCAATATTCTCCTCTAACACCATAACTCAACTGCATCAATTCTTCTATGTTCTTCCTTATTCACTGTGCAGCTTTCACATGCATATGAGGTTATAGAAAATACCATGGCTTGGGTCAGGCGCACCTTAGTCCTCACACTGACTTCTTTGCTCGTCAATGCTTTAAAGAGGTCTTGTGCAGCTGATTTGCCCAAAGTAATACATCATTTGGCTTCTTGACTGCTGCTTCCATGAGTGCTGATGGTTGATCCGAGTAAAATGAAGTCATTGACAACTTCAATCTTTTCTCCATTTGTATGGATGTTTATTTCAATAACCTCATATGCATGTGAAAGCTGGACAGTGAATAAGGAAGACTGTAGAAGAATTGATGCTTTTGAGTTATGGTGTTGGAGGAGAATATTGAAAGTGCCATGGACTGCCAAAAGAACCAACAGATCTGTGTTGGAAGAAGTACAGCCAGAGTGCTCCTTGGAGGCCAAGATGTCCAAACTTCATCTCTCATACTTCAGACATATTATCAGGAGGGACCAGTCACTGGAGAAGGATATCATGTTTGGTAAGGTGGAGGGTCAGAGAAAAAGAGGACCCCCCCAACGAGATGGATTGGCCAAGTGGCAGCATCGATGGCCTCAAGCGTGGCAACAGTAATGAGGTTGGCCCAGGATCGGGCAGTGTTTTGTTCTGCTGTGCATAAGGTTGCTATGGGTTGGTACTGACTCGTTGGCACCTAACAACAACAACATAGATGTTTATTGGTCCAGTGGTGAGCATTTTTGTTTTCTTTGCATTGAGGTGCAACCCATACTGAAGGCTATGGTCTTTGATCTTCATCAGTAAGTATTTTAAGTCCTCCTCGCTTTCAGCAAGCAAGATTGTATCATCTGCATATTGCAGGTTGTTAATGAGTCTGCCTCCAATCCTGATACCATGTTTTTCTTCATATAATACAGCTTCTCAGATTATTTGTTCAACATACAGATTAAATAAATATGGTGAAAAAATACAACCCTGGTGCACACCTCTCCTATTTTTAAACCATTTGGTGTTCCCTTGTTCTGTTTGAACAACTGCCTCATTGTCTATGTACAGGTTCCTCATGAGCACAATTAAGTGTTCTTAATACTCAGACTTTGCAATGTTGTCCATAGCTTGTCATGATGCACACACTCAAAAGCCTTTGCATAGTCAATAAAGCACAGATAAACATCTTTCTGGTATTCTCTGCTTTCAGCCAAGATCCATCTGACGTCAGCAATGACGTCCCTCATTCCACTTCCTCTTTTGAATCTGGTTTGAACCTCTGGAAGTTCCCTATCAATGTACGGTTGCAGCTGTTTTTGTATTACCTTTGGCAAGATTTTACTCTTGCCAAATACAATGATATTGTCCAATATATTCTGCAGTCTGTTGGGTCACCTCTCTTTGGAATGGGCACAAATACGGATCTCTTCCAGTCAGTTGACTAGGTAGTTGTTTTCCAAATTTCTTGTCATAGATGAGTGAGTGCCTCCAGTGCCGCATTAGGTTGTTGAAAGATTTCAGTTTGTATTCCATCTATTCCTGGTGCCTTGTTCTTTGCCAATGTCTTCATGCACCTTGGACTTCTTCCTTCAGGATCATGGGCTCTTGATCATATGCTACCTTTTGAAATAGTTGAACATTGACCATTTCTTTTAGGTACATCTTTTGATGCTTTCTGCATCATCCAATATTTCCCCCATAGAATCTTTTAATAATGGAAATCTAGGCTTGAATTTTTTCTTCAGTTCCCTCAGTTTGAGAAATGCTGAGCATGTTCTTCCCTTTTGGTTTTCTCACTCCAGGTCTTCGCACATTTCATTAAAATATTTGACTTTGTCTTCTCGAGTTGACTTCGGAAATTTTCTGTCCAGTTCTTGTACCTCCTCCCTTCTTCCATTTCCTTTATCATCTCTACACTGGAGAGCAAGTTTTGAAGTCTCTTCTGACATCCATTTTGGTCTTCTCCTTCTTTCTTGTCTTCTTAATGACCTTTTGCTTTCTTTCCTGTATGATGTGCTTTATGTCATCCCATAGCTCTTCTGGTCTTCAGTCATTAGTGCCTAATGCATTAAGTCTGTCTTCAGATGACCTCTAAATCCTGGTGGGATATATGCAAGATCATATTTTGGCCTTTGTGAACTTGCTGTAATTTTCTTCAGCTTCAACCTGAATTTGCACATGAGCAATTGATGATCTGTTCCACAGTTTGCCCCTAGCCTTGTTTTGGCTGATGATATTAAGTTTTCCGTCATCTCTTACCACAGATGTAGTCAATATGATTTCTGTGTATTCCATCTGGTGAGGTCCATGTGTATAGTCATCTTTTTATGTTATTTTAAGAAGGTATTCACAATGAAGAAGTTACTTGTCTTGCAGAATTCTATCATGTGATCTCCAGCATCATTTCTATCACCAAAGTCATTATTTTCCAACTACTGAGTTTTGTTTCCAACCTTTGCATTCCAATCTCCAGTAATTATCAATACATCTTGATTGCATGTTTGATCAATTTCAGACTGAAGAAGTTGGTAGAATTCTTCAATTTCATCATCACTGGATTTAGTGGTTGATGTGTAAATTTGAATAATAGCGATATAACTGTCTTCCTTGTAGCTAAATGAATATCATCCTATCACAGACAGCAGTGTACTTCAAGACAGATATTGATACGTTCTTTTTGATGATGAATGCAACACTCTTCAATTTGTCATTCCTGACATAATAAACCATGTGATTGTCAGATTCAAAATGGCCAATACTAGTCCACTTCAGCTCACTAATGCCTAGAATATTGATGTTTATATGTTCCATTTCATTTTTTTACAATTTCCAATTTTCCTAGGTTCATGCTTCATACATTCCATGTTCCAGTTATTAACGGATGTTTACAGCTGTTTCTCTTCATCTTGAGTTGTGCCCCTTGAGCAAATGAAAGTCCCTAGGGCTTTATTCCATTTGCATCATCACAATCAACTCTACTTTGAGGAGGTAGCTCTTTCCCAGTTGCATTTTGAATCACATCAAACATAATGGGCTCATCTTCCGGCACTATATCTGATAATACTCTGGTGCTCTTCATCATGTTTCAATATTCAATAATCTAGTGCTGACAGTGTTCCACTGCTATTCATAAGGTTTTCAGTGACTAAATATTCAGAAGTAGTCTATCTCTCCTTCTTCCTAGTCTGTTGTTATCTGAAAGCCCAGCTAAATGTTGTTCCTTGTGGATGACCTGCTGGTATTTAAAATACCCATAGAATCACAGCAACATGAAAAATACCACAGTATGACAAACTGACAAAGGAGTGGTGCATGTCAATGTTGAACAGTGAATAAGGAAGCTGTAGAAGAATTGATGCATTTGAATTATGGAGTTGGAGAAGAGTATTAAAAGTACCATGGACTACCAGAAGAACAAACAATTTGTGTTAGAAGAAGTACAGCCAGAACGCTCTTTAGAAGCTACATGGTGAGACTTCATCACTCATACTTTGGACATATTATCAGGAGGGTCCAGTCCCTGGAGAAGGACAACATTCTTGGCACCGTGGAGGGTTAGAGAAAAAGAAAATCCCCTATGAGATGAATTGGCACAGTGTCAGTGGCAATGGGCTCAAGCATAGTAACAATTGTGAAGACTGCACAGGACGGGGCTCTATTTCATTCTGTTGTGCATAAGGTCACTATGAGTCGGAACGGACTCTATGATGCCTAACAACAACAATGGGCAAAATTTTGAATGGCACTGATAATACCAAGTTGGAATACACAGAATCACTTTACCAGAAAGAACTGGGCTATGTTCAGTCATTTCAAGAGGTATCAGATCAAGAATCAATGAATGGTATTAAAGGAAGAAATCCAAGCTTCACTAAAGGCATTGGTGGAAAACATGACTCCAAGAATTTATGGAATATAAATTGAAATGTTTCAACAAACTGATGCAGTACTGGAGGCTCTCACTTGATTCTGTCAAGAAATTTGGAAGACAGCTACCTGGCTAATGGATTGGAAGAGATCCGTATCCATACCCATTCCAAAGAAAGGTGAAATCCAACAGAATGCTGAAATCATCAAATGCTATCATTACTATCACATGCAAGAAAAATTTTGCTAAAGATAATTCAAAAACAATTGCAGTATCAACAGGGAGCAGCCATAAATTCAAGCTAGATTCAGAAGAGTATGTGGAGTGGGGGATATTATTGCTGATATTAGGTGGATCTTGGCTGAAAGCAGAGAATACCAGAATGGTGCTTCATTATGCTTTATTGACTATACAAAGGCTTTAGACTGTGTGGATCATGACAAACTACAGATACCTTTGCCAAGAATGGGTCTTCCAGAACACTTAACTGTGCTCATGAGGAATCTGTACATAGACCAAGAGGCAGTTGTTAGAATAGAACAAGGGGACACTGAATGGTTTAAAATCAGGAAAGGTGTGCATCAGGTATTGTTTCTCCATACTTATTCAACCTATGCTGAGCAAACAATCAGAGAAACTGGATTATATGAAGAATGTGATATTAGAATTAAAGGAAGAGTCATTAGCATTCTACAATATGCAGATGACACAATCTGGCTTGCTGAAAGCCAAGAGAACTTGAAATACTGATGAAGATCGAAGACCACAGCCTTCAGTATGGGTTGCACCTCAATGTAAAGAAAACAAAGATCTTCACAAGTGGGCCAGTAAATAACATCGTGATAGAGAAAAGATTGATGTTGTCAAAGACTTCATTTTGCTTATAGAAACAGTAATCAAAAACTCAAAACTATGTATTGCATTAGGCAAATCTGCTGCAAAAGACCTGTTTAAAGTGTTCACAAGCAAAGATGTCAGTTTGAGAAGTAACGTATGCCTGACCAAAGCCATGGTATTTTCAGTCATCTCACATGCATGTGAAAGTTCGACAACGAATAAGCCAGACCTTAGAAGAATCGATGCATTTGGATTATGATGTTGGCGAGGAATCTTTAAAGTACCATAGACTGCCAGAAGAACAAACTGATGTGTCTTAGAAGAAGTACAGCCAGAATGCTCCTTAGCAGTGAGGAGGGCCAGACTTTGTCCCTCGTACTTCGGACATACTCTCAGGAAGGATCAGTCCCTGGAGAAGGACATCATACTTGAAAAACTGGAGGATCAGCGAAAAAGAGGAAGACCTCCACTGAGATGGATTGAGAACTCAAGCGTTACACAACAATTATGAGGATGGCACAGAACTGGGAAGTAGTTCATTCAGCACCTAACAACAATATCCGATAAAAGAGCCCTGGTAGTGCAATGGTTAAGCACACAACTGAAAGGCTGGCGGTTTGAACCCATCCAGTGGCTCTGAGGAAGAAAGGTCTGGCCATTTGCTCCCATAAAGTTTACAGCTTAGGGTTTCTTTCTATGTATTGGGCAGTTCAGAGAGGACAAGTATCTTGGGCAGGGTCAAGTACCAGCTTGATAGAAGAATTTGCATTTCTTCAATTCAGAACCTGCAGTTCTTCATGTAAGGCTAAAACCCCAGATCATGTCCTCTTCCCCATCTCTTTCCCATGGGGAAGACATGTTTGAAAGGCAGATGGGAAGTCTAATGACAAAGTGAAACCCGGAGAACAAATTTGTATTCCGCCCTCAAAACCCTAGCTCACATTCTCCTGCCTACCTGGAAGTCTGTTCCTAGCCCAAAGAACTCTCCCTTGTGCCTTGGTTCCACCAGCCTCATCCCTCTCTGCCTTAGCAAAAAGCTTTGTCTTCGAAGGAATTATTGACAGGGTGACCAGAATTCATGAGTACCTGTGTGGACACTAGGTCCTTCTGGATCTGCATCTTCTCTAGCTGGGGCAGAGCTGGGCCAGGCTGGGCCTCTAGCATGGTCTGCAGCATAGCTTCTGCCCGGGGCACATTGGGGATGGGTGCCAGGGTGGGACCAGGCTCTGGGGGAATCTTCACAAGAGCCCACTGCTTCTGGAGACGCTGGATATAGCCTCGGAGCTGGGTGGCCACTTCCTGCAGCGTGGGCCTGTCTACACTGCTGCCTTCAGGGCTGAGGAAAACAGAAGATGGATTTGTATTGACACTGATGAGTGTGGTCATGCTAACCTCATGCCAAATCTGGTGAGCACCATCATTCACCATCTTACCAACCACAGTGGATCCTATGCCATCTGTGTGGACTTTCTTGTATCAACTTAATAGCCATCATAATGTAAAGTCCATTAAGCACCATCTTTGATCAAAACAACATGGTGGACGCTATCACATCGATCCAATGGGCACCATGGGTCAAGATAATACAGTAGAGCATCCACTAACCCAATGGGCACTGTTATAAATTGATTTGTTGTTGTTGTTGTTATGTGCCATAGAGTCGGTTCTGACCCATAGCGACCCTGTACAGGGTTTCCGAGGCTGTAAATCTTTACGGGAGCAGAAAGCCTCATCTTTCTCCCGCGGAACAGCTGGTAGTTTCGAACTGGTGACCTTGTGGTCCTCAGCCCGATTCGTAACCACTACACTACCAAAGCTCCTTGATTAATTGAATTGTATCCCCCCAAAATATGTGTTGTCAATCCTAATGGGATTATGCCTGGGGTTATAATCCCATTTGGGAATGGGTTAGCTTTGTGAAAGGAGTGCTGGTGGTGCAGTTGTTAAAGTACTCAGCTGCTAACTCTAACATTGCCAGTTCAATCCTACCAGTTGCTCCTCAGGGGTATAAAAAGATGTGGCCATCTTCTTTCATAAAGATTTATAGCTTTGGAAACTCTATGGGGCAATTCAACACTGTCAATCAATATGAGCTGGAACTGACTTCACACCACTAGGTTTTGGTTTTGTCTTTGGCAGTGTTACTATAGGATGTACCTGAGTCAATCTTTTTGAGATAGAAGAGATGAAATGCCAGCTAGCAAGCAGAGACTGGGGAAGACAGATACCGCATGAAGATGACCCAGGAGCAGAAGTTAGAGACAAGAACCTTCTTGCAGAAACAACAGAGAGTGAAAGCCTTCCCCTAAAGCTGGCACCCTGACTATGGATTTCTAGCCTCCTAAACTGTGAGAAAGGAGTCCTGGTGTGGCACTGTGGGCTAATGCGCCAGACTGCAAAACGCTTTGAACTGCAAAGTCGGCAGTTCAAGCTCACAAGCTGCTCCTCAGAAACTCTATATAGGGTCGCTATGGGTTGGAATCAACTCGATGGCACTTAACAACAATAACAAAACTGTGAGAAAATAAATTTCTGTTTCTTAAAGCCACCCACTTATGCCATTTATGTTATAGGAGCACTAGATGCCTGAGACAGGTAATATCATCCACTGATATACATCATGGCACCATCATCAACCAAGTCAACATCATGGAGAGCAGTGTACCAACACAATGGGCATCATCCGTGATCAAGACAACATGATGACCACCCCCATGACACCTAATGGACACGGTCGCCTGTCATGGTGGACACCACTGCACCAACCCAGTTGGGGGTGGAATGAGTTCCTCTATGTGGCCTTTTGCTTTGATTCTTTGGAAAAAAACAACTTGAGAGATTTTTTTTCACCTAACTGTGTCAGACTGCAAAGTCGTTTGAACTGCAAGGTCAATGGTTCAAGCTCACCAGCTGCTCCTTGAAAACCCTATACAGGGTCGCTATGGGTCAGAATCGACTCGATGGCACTTAACAACAACAACAACAAGCCCTTAGGAGTTACCTTTGCCCTAGTTTTCTACCTGAGAGAGTGGCTACTTTTGTCCAGGTTGATTGACATTTTCTGGTCATGCTGCAAACAACTTGTTTGATTTTTGTCTGGTCCTGGACTGTAGTCTGCCCAGTGATTGGTATGCACCTTGCAAGAGATTGGTCAACAAACTATGCAAATGAAGTCTTTGTAGCCTACTAGGCAAATGCAAACACTTCATGTGCATAGTCTATTGACCAATTCCTTGCAAGGTGTATACCAATCACAGGGCACATTGCAGTCCAGAACCAGAAGCAAATGCCAGAGTCCTGGTGTGAGGATAAAGCACTGGACAGCAAGCTCAGTTTGAACCACAAGACTAGCAGTTCCAACTCACCAGTTGCTCCTCGGAAACTCTATACAGGATCGCTATGAGTCAGAACCGACTCGATGGCACTTAATAGCAACATACAAATGCAGTGCCAATGGTCTACCAAGAGGGAGTTGCTAGTTTTTGTGGCCCTGATGGGAAGGTCATGCCTTGAAATTGATGAGGAGTTTGTGCATATAAACAGCTAACTGTACGGGAGTTTTTCAGACAGGAAGAAGCAGAGAGAGAAAGTGAGAGACAGAGAGACAGAGAAGAGACAGAGAAGGTAAAAAATGTCCTAATAAGGTTGTAGCACAGGTCAAGGAATATCACACTGAAGACAGCGAGAGGCCCAGATAGGGACTCAGCAGCAGAGCTAGTGGCAACGAGCCAAGAAGAGGCTTTGTGGCAGAGTCAGTGATGACAGACAGCAGGGTAAAGAGAAGGTCTGCACGGCCAAGAGGAGCTGGGAGTATTGAGACAGCTGTCCTAGGAAGATTTTGCCTACATGCTTCCGGATCCTGACCTTGGCCTTTCCAGGTTGTACTCTGTTGTTTTCTTAATAAACCACTTAACTGTAAATCTAGTCTGTGAGTTCTGTGTGGCCATTGCAATGGATTATTGACCCCAGGATAGAAGTAGAGCGTTCCATGATGGGGACGGGGGGTACGAAATGAATGATGTCAGAATTGGTCAAAGGGTTGGAGGGTGAAGGTATGTCTGTCTGTCCTCCACCTCATAGAAATCAGCCTGATGCTGATCTTGGTTTGCACTATTCGCCCTCAAGTTAGAACATTCCGATGCTACTCTACCCTTTTGCATCAATGCCAACTCTGTTTGGCAGCATGATGCCAACTCCAATGACTATCATCAAGCCAACCTTGCTAAGCACCATCATCCACCTTTGTGCCAACCATAGTGGGTCCTGTGCCAATCCAATCTAGCACTATGCCAACCTAGTTGATTAGCAACAGGACAACTTCAGTCCTTGCTGGACAGAACCATGCCAAACCCCAACACGGGCCATCTTTGGGAGCTCCTCCCACTCTCAGTGTTCAGCCCAGTTCTGGGGTTCCCAAGGGTACCTTGGTTGGGCATCTCGTGGTGCTCCTCCAGCTATGGCAGCCTCCTCTTGTGCCAGCAGCCTCCATACTTCCTTCTCAGCTGCCTGTAGGTCACCTGCCAAGGCCCCTTCCCCTGACTGGGAGTTGGCCTTCCACAGAGCAAGCAGGGCCCCATATGCCTCCTCACAGTGCTCACTGCAGGACATCAGTCTTGAGCACTCCTGAATGCCTAGATTTCCTAGTGTCCTCCCAGAGGGTAAACTCTTATTCATTACTACAAACCCCAGCTCCAATCATTTCCCCACCAAGAAGTCTGTCCCCATTTTGCTGCGTGGGTTCCAGTCTCTACTTGCACTTGGGACCCTCACTTTCCTCTCTACGCCCACCCCTGGGAGAATGCAAACAACCTTAATAACCTTGGACTAAGCCTGCCTTGTTGTTGTTGTTAAGTGCCGTCGAGTCGGTTCCAACCCATAGCGACCCTGTACAGGGTTTCCGAGGGTGTAAATCTTTACGGGAGTAGAAACCCTCATCTTTCTCCCGCGGAGCGGCTGGTAGTTTCGAACCACTGACCTTAAGGTTTGCAGCCCGACTCGTAACCACTACGCTACCAGAGCTCCTTAGACTCATCCATGAGGGGACCTTGCCTTCTCTGTGAATGGGGCCGTGGCCTGGGCATCCAGTTCTGCCCCAGCCTTGCGTCACTGGGGGGGAGCACTGACCTGTACTGCAGGGCTAGGTGCAGGGCTGTGGCCTCAGCCTCCCGCTGGCCCAGCTGCATGCTGAGACCCTCACAACGGCCCCTATACCCCTGGAGCACAGCGGAGAGCAGACGGTTGAAGCATTTGAGCTTCTCAATGTTCCTGCCTCAAAAGGTGGGGAAGAGAGCAGTCAGAACCCAATTTCCATATCTTCCCTTTTCCCCTGCTCCAATTCCAGACACATGGGCTCATATCCCAGCTGAGGGAGGTGCTGGACCCTTACTAGCTCAGCATTAATTACTCTTACCCCCGGAGCTGGTCAATCTGGACTTCCATGATATGCATCTCAGGGGCAAGGGTCTGGCGGGGGAGAGATCTAAGGATCTGGGTGCTGGAATCACTCCTGAGGCGCCTGAGCAGGGGGTGAGCCAGAGGAAAGGGGTCCTGCCAGGAAGAGGGATCCAGTTAAATCCCCATGGTCACTGAGGGCCAGCAGCATGATTTGAGGTCTTTTCCAACCCCAAAGCTATTGGATACCAGGACGCAGATTTGAATCTCACTCCTTTGAACTCTCCAGGATCCTGAGCACTTACCTGAGTCCCCCAGGGTTCCCTGTCTGCCCCAGGACTGCTGGAACCACTGTCTGAGCTGCCCACTTGACTGTGGGCTGGCGGTGGGAAAGGCTTGAGTCTCAGCAGGGAATCTTGCAGCTCCTGGACCTGGGAGGGGGAGTGGGAACATCAGGCCTGGGGGCTCTAAATACTTAACCATCCCTCCCCGAAGTCTGTGCTTGGGGGTAGTGATAGGCACCCTGGTTATTCACCCTACCACATTCCTTATTATGTGGCCTTGGGGAAGTCACTTAGCTGCCCAAGACTTAGCTTTTCCAGCAGGGAAATGGATCTCACTCCTTCTAGGTTTCTGAAGCCCTGTATCTCTCTGCTAGTCCACGTCAAAATGGGGAGCTCCACCCCCATGGATATGGTCCAGCCCCATGGTTTTCGATTTCATTCACATGAAAAGATGCCCAAATGTCTTCCTCTTATCCTGGAATCCCCACTGAGCTCTGAGTCTCAGACATATGTTCACCTGTTAGCTTGAACACTCCACATGGGCGTTTCATGGGTACCTCAAAGTCATCAAGGCCCAAACAAATCTAACATTTTCCAGAGGGCAAACTCCTATTCATCCCTCCAACCTCCTCCATGCAGGAAGCCTGCCCCTTCCACAGCCGGCCCATCTCTCTCTTCTAATCTCTTAGGCCCCCACTCTAGAGCTGTCCTCAGCTCCTCCCTACTTTTCACACCCACTCCTGTCAGCTCCACCTTCAATCTCATCCAGAATTTTCCCTCCGTTAGTTCGTTCACCACCTCCACAGCTGCCTTCATTATTCACCAGATCACTGTAGTCACTCCTCCCTAGTCTCTCCACTTACTCCCTTATCCCCGCCCCCTCCCTTCCCTATACACACAGTCTGTCCTCTCCTCAGCATCCAGAGGGCATCTGTGAACACCTGAGCCAGGTGTTCCTTCCTCTGCTCAGAACCCTCCACGACTCCTGCCTCACTTAGGACAAAAATCAAAATCTTATGCAGTCCACCAGGGCCCCCAGCAAGCTCTGTGCTGTCACCTCCCTGCCCTAGTCTCCCCCTACCTTGCTGGGTCTGGCACACTCCTGCCTCAGGGCCTTTGCATGTGCTATTCCCCCTGTCTAGAACACTCTTCCCCCAACTCCCTGCGAGGTTCCTCCCTCATTTCCTCTGGTCTTTATTCAAGTGTCACCTCCTCTGGGGTCTTCCCTGTGCCCCCTTACTAAGATTGTAAGAAATCTTTATTTTAGTCATTGGACTCAGCAGTGCCTGGCACACATACCCCTCCCCCCCCATGCACACACACTGATTGATGTTCCAGAAAGGTGTGAGGAATGAACAAATGAATGAATGCTGATTGGCAGCAGGGATTGGCAGCCCACCTCTGGCAGGACCAAACATTTACCTCTTTCTGCAGCGTTTCTTTCTCCGCCCTGATGGCTTGGAGGGAGGCCTGCATGCGAGCCAGTTCATCCTCCCTGCTTCCCAGGGCCAGCTGCAGCCAGGCGTTCCTCTCCGTCAGGTGGGCCGCCTCCCGTTGACAGTCCCCTACCCCTTCATGACCCACAAGGGGCCCTAATGCCCCCATTGGCATGGGACATTTGGGGGGCTGCTGGCGCCACGCAGCTGCCGTCGCCTCTAGGGAACTCAGAGCATGCTGGAGGGTCTGGAACACATCAGGGTCTCCATCCCCAGGGGCTGCCTCTGAGGCCTGATGGACTTCCTCTGCAGGCTTTGGTGGGCCCTGGAGGGCTGAGATCAATCCCCTGCAGGAGTCTCCATCAAGTTCCTTGTCTGTTCTGGAGAGACCGAGTGAGGGAATTATGGGGACTTAAACCTCAGGGTCTCTGGGAGGGATTTGCTGCCAAGAGCTGTGTGCAAGGGTCCTGGTGGCCCCGGGAAGGCTGGGAATCCAGGGTAACGACTGGGAGGATGTTGGAAGGCCTTGGGGCTAAAGAAGCAGAGCAGGGAACCTCAGAAAATGAAGGAGTTGGGTTTTGCAAGGGAAAGAAAGGCATCTTAGCAGAGGGTACAGCCCAGCGAAAGGCTTAAAGGTGAGGGACAGAAACTTCTGGAAAATAAAGGGTCTTTTGGAGCAGCTGGTAGACAGGAAGTATCAGCATCCTAGACTACTTACAGACAGGTTGAGGAGGACAATGGGTAGCCATGCTAAGTGTCTGAGCAGGGAAGGGGCATAGGAAGAATGGAGGGTGGAAACGAAGTGCCTTGGTTGGTGTGGGGAGCACAGACCAAGTGACCCTTACCTGTCCCCTGTGCCCTGCACACCAGCCTCTGCTGCAGAACCCACCAGCTCTGATTCGCCGTGACTCTCCTGGGGTGGCTCAAGGCTCGGTTCGGGGGTCCCAGAAGCTGCCTCCAACTCCTCTGAACTCTCAACTAGGGGGTCCAACTCACCCTGCAAATAACCCCTGAGGTTCCTGCTCTGAGCCGGGCAGGTACGGGGGCCCTGGGGTTAGAAGGGGCTGGGCACAGCGGGGAGGGGGAAGACACTCACGGGTGGAAGATGCCTCCCTCGCCGACTTCGGGGTCGCTTGGCACGGGCATTCATCCCTGTCCAGATAATCAGTATGGTCTGAGTCTTCCTCCTTCCTCACCCCCTAAAAACACAGCATGGCCTCAGTTCTGCCTTGCTGTCCTAGAGAGAAAATGGCTTCAATTTTCTCTCCTGGGAAATGGGGCAATGACTCCATCTCTGGAAGGGCTCTTGAGTTATCAATGTTGAGTTGACATATTTGAATACCTTTCTTGATGGGCAACTCACTACACCAGGGGTTCCCTGATCTTCTGCTCTGCCTCCTTCAGTTTTCACCACATTTGTACCCCCTCTTGCTTCCTTTCCCCCTTGTCTCTGGGCCTGGGACTAAGACCACAAAGCCCCTACACCCCCCAAGGTCCTCTTGCACCAGAGACTCCAACCATGTGTGCGGTCCTCTTACTTCCCTATACCTCTCTGTTCCTCTAGAGGCACCTTGATCAGCCCAAGTTCTGGAACATTCTCGGGGTCACTCTGGCCACTGCTTGCTCAGACCAGGGCTGACCAAGACTGGTTTGGGAAAGACTAGTAAACAGGAAGCCCCCTCCCCTGGTCATGTGACCTGTTATTGTACCATTTCCTCCTTGAGGACAAAGGCTTCCTCCAGCCTCAGGGTGGGACATGTGTTCCTCTGAATCTATCTGAAATGTCAGCCTCCAACTCTGAGCTCTTCCACGTCTGAAACTTGGATTTGATTGCCTGGGAAGCAGCATGTTCCCCTAGGCTCTTCATCTTGTTCCCCTGTGAACTCTTCCCTGCACATTCCTTCAGTTGGGGACCACAGTTCTCTGAGAGGTGCCGGTTTAGTCATCTTGAGCCTCAGCTCCTTATCTGTAAATTGAGGATGATCACAAATTGTTCTCATACAGTCTTGGGGATTTTCATGTGTCCTTTAAGTAGGACTGGTCACATCAAGGAACCAAATCTTAACACATCCTCTCCTCTTTTCTCCCCTCCCTGCCATCCTACCTCTGCTTCATCTGTCAGTTCCTATTTCTCCTGTATTTACCTGGATTCCCACCTTCTGGATGGTCACTGCCCATTTTGCCTGTTAGCAATTAAAATGATAGGTCTCCTCGTTTTCCATCCCATAGTCAGAGCCTAGATCCCCATCTCCCTCCCAAGGCATCTGGCCCCCTCCACTCACTTCCCCACTCAGGCCCCAAAGACAGAGATCTCACCATCCCTCTTCTGCTCACACACCCTCTATGGCTCCCCATTGCCCTTGGGAGAAATTTCAAGTTCTTCAGCGCCTTTAAAAAATATGTCTGCTGTCTACTCCCACAAATACCCGCTGCTCTAGCCACAATGACATCCTCTGTGGAAAGGTGAAGGGGTTCAACTCTATCTTGACTCAGAGCCACTAGCTATGCTGAAACCTCTACCTCAGATGATTTTTCTGCTGCACTTAGTTAAAATCTTGTACAAAGGTTGGGGTCTGATCCCACTGGCAGGGCTCAGACCCTGGGGAACTGGGTTTTCCTGCCTCTGTGTCCCCTAGGAGTGAAAACTTAAGAGTTGGGGTTAGAGAAGTTGTGATGATCTGACTCAAGGGTTCCCAAGGGTTCCCAGGTGGTCTAACATCTCCCTTTAGAAGCATTAACCTGTTTGAGGCTTCACAACCACTCCAAGCCTCTTCTAAACCTCCTGGCCTTTGTCCAAGCTGTTCCCTCTGCCTAGAATGCCCTTCTCATTCTTATTTCTTTGACAAATTCTTCATCCTTCAAAGCTCAGCTTAAATAGAATCAGAATTTGGCAGATGTGGGCAGCTTAAGGAGCCCTGGTGACAGAAGGGTTAAAGCTGTCAGCTGCTAACAGAAAGGTCAGTGGTTTGAACCCATCAGCTGATCAACAGGAGAAAGATATGCAGTCTTGCTTCCATAAAGATTGACAGCCTGGGAAACCCTCTGGGGCAGTTCTGCTCTGTCTTACAGGGTCAGTGTTATGAGTGGGAATCAACCAGACAGCAGTGAGAGTGGTATTTTCAGTTAGGTAGCCTTCGGAGTCTCTGGGTAGCACAAATGGTTAACATGCTTAGCTCATAATGTAAAGGTTGGAGGTTTGAGTCCAACCCCAGGTGCCTTGGAAGAAAGACCTGGTGATCTGTTTCCGATCAATCACTCACCCAAAACTCTATGGAGCACAGTTCTACTCTGATACTACTGGGCTCACCATGAGTTGGAGTCAATTTGATGGCAACTCATTTGGAGCAGGTTTAACTGACCCTTTTACAAAAAACAAAATACCAACTGAGGTTCAAAGTGGATTGGGGAAAAGTGTGCACGAATAGTTCCTGTTAAGCGTGATAGAAAAAAATCAGGAAATCTCAAATATTCTGTTACTTACACAATCCTATTGCCATTAAGTCAATTCCAACTGGTCTTGACCCATGGAAACAAGATTTGCATAGAGGGATTTCCAGCAAGATGGCAGACGAGGTGGACACGTCATAGAAATAGACCCAGAGGATAATCCTGGAACCCCGAGCTTCAGAGAAAAGGTTAGGGGAGTGACTAGAACACTTTCTGGGAGGAGAAGCTGAGCCGGGGTGGTGAAAGGAAATTGATGTGAATGCACTGCTAGCCAGACAGTGCGTGACTATCCAAGCAGCTCTGGAGAGACAGACAGACAACGGCCTGATAACAGATTCACACAGGTGGTGGGAAAAATGTGATTCCTTCTTGTTCCCCACACTTCCCTGGATAACAGAGGTGAAGTCAGCCCTCACCCTCATCTACCCCCAGCCTACCCCCTGCTCTCCGGGGAGTTTGGAGCTTTAAGGTTTGAGCCAGTGTGAGGCTCCACTGCCTTGGTGCCTGAATTTAGATGGGCTCTGCTCCAGATCTATAGAACCCACAGAGCCTCCAGGTTAGAATTAGACTAGCAGGAGCCTTCATAACCAGCCACCCTGCCTTCAGCTGCCCTCTGGTTCTGACAAACACTGAAGCTAGCAGCCTGAAGGACCTCCACAAATTACTTTTGGTTTGGGTATCCTGAATATAGACAATACTTAGGCCTATAAGACCTCACCATCACTTATCTGTCAATTTGCCTTGCTGTGGTGGCTTGCATGTTGCTGTGATTCTGGAAGCTATGCCACCAGTATTTTAAATACCAGCAGGGTCACCCATGGTGGATAGGTTTCAGCTGAGCTTCTAGAAAGAAGGAGAGATAGACTTGCGAATATTTAGTCAACGAAAACTTTACGAATAGCAGTAAAACAATGCCAGCACCAGAATATTGAATATTGAAACATGATGAAGAGCACCAGAATATTGTCAGATATAGTGCCAGAGGAGTCCTGGTGTGGCGCTGTGGGTTAATGCACCAGGATGCAAAGCCTTTTGAACTGCAAGGTCGGCGGTTCAAGCTCACCAGCTGCTCCTCAGAAACCCTATACAGGGTTGCTATGGGTCAGAACTGACTCAATGGCTCTTCACAACAACAACAACAACATAGTGCCAGAAGATGAGTCTGTTATGTCTGAAATGACTCAAAATACAACTGGGGAAGAGTTGTCTCCTCAAAGTAGAGTTGACCATGATGACGTAAATGGAGTAAAGCTTTCTGGACCTTCTTTGCTGATGGGGCACAATGCAAAATGAGGAGAAACAGCTGTAAACATCCATTAATGATTGGATGATAGACTGTACAAAGTATGACTCTAGGAAAATTGGAAGTTGTCAAAAACAAAATGGAATGCACAAACATCGATATCCTAGGCATTTCAGTGAACTGAAATGGATGGATGTTGGCCATTTTGAATCTGACAATCACATGGTTTATTATATCAGGAATGGCAAATTGAAGAAGAATGATGGCAAATTCATCATCAAAAAGCACATTTCAAGATCTGTCCTGAAGTACAACATTGTGATAGGATAATATCCATATGCCTATAAGGAAGACTAGTTAGTACAACTATTATTCAAATTTACATACCAACCACTAAGACAGTGATGATGAAATTGAAGGAGTCTACCAGCTTCCTCAGTATGAAATGTACAAAACATGTAATCAAGATGTGTTGATAATTACTGGTGATTGGAATGCAAGTGTTGGAAACACAGAGGAAGGATCAGTAGTTGGAAAATACAGCCTTGGTGATAGAAATGATGCTGGAGATTGCATGATAGAATTTTGTAAGACTAAGGGTTGTATTCTTTCACCATACTTATTCAACCTGTATGCTGAGCAAATAATACGAGAAGCTGGGTTCTATGAAGAAAAACGTGGTATCAGGATTGGAGGAAGACTCATTAACAACCTGCGATATGCAGATGATACAACCTTGATCGCTGAAAGTGAAGAGGACTTGAAACATTTACTTATGAAGATTAAAGAGCACAGCCTTCGATATGGATTGCATCTCAATGTCAAGAAAACAAAAATCCTCACCACTGGACCAATAAACAACATTCTTATCAATGGAGAAAGGATTGAAGTTGTCAAGGACTTCATTCTTCTTGGATCAACTATCAACACTCGCGGAAGTAGCAGTCAAGAGATCAGACGATGTATTGCACTGGGCAAATCTGCTGCACAGGAACTTTTTAAAGTATTGAAGAGCAGAGATGTCAGCTTGAGGACTAGGGTGCGCCTGACCCAGGCCATTGTGTTTTCAATAGCCTCATATGGATGCGAAAGCTGGACAGTGAATAAGGAGGATCGTAGAAGAATTGATGCCTTTGAGTTGTGGTGTTGGAGGAGAATACTGAGGGTGCCATGGACTGCCAAAAGAACCAATAGATCTGTTTTGGAAGAAGTGCAGCCAGAGTGCTCCTTGGAGGCCAGGATGGCTAAGCTTCGTCTCTCCTACTTTGGACATGTAGTCCGGAGGAAACAATCGTTGGAGAAGGATGTCATGCTGGGTAGGGTGGAGGGTCAGAGAAAAAGAGGAAGACCTCCAACGAGATGGATCGGCCAGGTGGCATCATTGATGGACTCGGGGGTGGCAGCGGTGGTGAGGTTGGCCCAGGATCGAGCATTGTTTCGTTCTGCTGTGCATGGGGTCG